TTTTAGGTGACCCACTGAAGGCATTAGATTTGATATCTTATTAACCCTGGTGTTGTGTGTCATCCTTGGGAGATGAATAACTTACGTAATTTTCTATATTGGAATGACGATGCCTCTAGTATTTTGTGTGTGATAGGTTTTTTTATCTTGCCAACACCTTGAGAGTGATGGAAAAGTAAAAAATGACCAAATATTTCTATGTGATGAATTGCTGAAGGAAAAAAATAAGTATTGCACTTGAAATGCTAATGTTTTGTTTGTTGAGAAGAGAAGAATGGGAACTTGGAATATTCTTCTTCATCATACTAATGTATTACATTCTGATGAGTTTTTAATGAATTTTTATCTTAAGTGATATATCAACCCTATGTGGCATTATGATGTACTTACCTTATCAACTCATCGTACACATTATTTTGAATAGGAATTTCGGGATGCTACTTGTGATGTCTAGTATTTCTCTCTTCAATAGGACCATTTTTTGAATTGATTTGTTTTATCTATAGTTTAAGAATTCATAAATTATTGCTGTTAGAGTATAAAATATCACTCTGACGTAAATGGGTGCTTTTGGCTTCTCTTTAGTGATGCGTTCAAGACTTCAGAGCTCTCCTAGCTGAAGTCATAACTACAAAAGCAGCTGCCCAAGAAACAGAAGACGGAAAAATAGTATTTAATTCATGGTTAACAGCTAAACGTCTTCTGAAGCCTGATCCTAGGTATAACAAGATGCCAAGAAAGGAAAGGGAGGCTTTGTGGCGCCGATATGCTGCACAAGCAAAAGTCAACACTAAAGCAAGATGAAGATAGGTATAAAGATGCAAAATCTAGAAGCTCTGGGAGGTCAACATCAGGTTCAAGGAGAAACCATGAGCGGAGATAGCTTTCCTTTTGCACGGCAAGCTTGACTCTTTGTAGAGTTTTTTGAATGCTTATTGTTTGGAACCAGTTTCTAATTTACATATTCAGTGTTGTATTATATAAGCTCAATTAAATAGTTTTTTCTATAATGAATTTATTGGATGGCAACATTGATATTATCATGTAATGTAGTGAACAACAATGTCACAAGTCTTGTCCTAGCCAAAGGCTTCTCAACATCACATTTAGTTTCTGCTCCTTTTAAGAGTAATTGGAAATAGTAATGGGTTTAAATGACTAAATCTGTGTATATGCGTGTTCTCTGTCTCTCTCTCTTTTATATCCTTTTTTAATGCTTCCTGTTTATTCATCCATCCAATTTAGATAAGTTAAAAAACAAAACACGGAAAAGGCATCTAGGTACACCTTCTTGACTCAGTAGGTTTAAAAATCTTTATGGATGCTACAATGATAGAGCAGAGTTGATGTTCTGCCTTATATGAGTTAGATATGGAACAGTATATAGCAAATAGTGGATGACTAGTATCTTTATGTCCTTGGATGACTTTGTTGAAGGTTGGTGCTGTGTTGGAAGTAAGATTTGCTGGAAGTTTGAAGTTGTTTTGCTGCTGTGGATGGACGTGCATGGTGCTGTTCTAGAGTTCAGTAGCTTAAGTCCTTTTGTATATTTTAGTGTTAATTTTGAATTTGTTGACTCAGCTTATTTTGTAATGAAGTTGGTAGACGTGAGTGGTTTAGCTGAGATTAAGTGAAAGTTCTGATAGTAGTTGAAACAGTAAGCAACAACATGTTATATTCAGACTTTTGTCTAATGAAATGGTAGTCCAGTTTTTTCATTCTTTCTCTCTCTTTTCTTTGCACAACCGACATTAGCAAAACACTAACATGGTATCAGAGCTCCATTAACCAACTATCATCTATCAAATTTACTCAAAAAAACTCATTCAAAATCACCATCAAACTTCAATCTTCTACAAGAACAAAATTCTCCAGAAAACAGCAACCAGTTTCAGCATGGCTACTCAATCAGCTTCTCTCTCACCTCCAGTGTTCAATGGAGACCAGTATCACATATGGGCTGTTAGAATGAGAGCCTACCTAAGAGGGCAAGGGCTATGGCAGTATGTGGAAGAGGAGAAACAGCCACCGCAGCTTGGTCCAAACCCAACCTTGAATCAAATGAGGATGTATGAGGAGGAAATGTCCAAAGCTCCAAGAGCTCTTTCTCACATACATTCTGCAGTAACAGACCTTGTATTTACAAGGATAATGGCATGTGAAACTGCAAAGGAAGCTTGAGATAGATTGAGAAAGGAGTTCATGGGAAGTGATACAACCCGAAACATGCAAGTCATGAACCTACGCAAAAAGTTTGAAATGCTGAGAATGCAGGAGGTAGATAAGGTTAAAAAGTATCTAGACAGACTCATGAGTGTGGTGAACAAAATCAGATTATTGGGAGTTGAGATGAGTGACAAGATGATAGTTGAGAAAATGTTAGTCAGCCTTCTGGAAAGATTTGAATCCAAGATATCTTCCTTAGAAGATTCAAAGGATCTCTCCTAAATCAGCCTCACTGAATTGGTTCATGCTCTGCAAGCCCAAGAACAAAGAAGGTTAATGAGACAAGATGATTCAAATGAAGGTGCTATGCTGGCTGCTCAAAAAGGAGTGAATATGTAGGGAAGTAATAGAAAATATGCTGGAGATAAGAGAGGAAAAGAGAAGGCTGGTGGTTAGTGGGGAAGGTAGAGTGGAGGAAGAAATTATCCACCATGTTCCCACTGCAAAAAGAAGGGACATCCGAACAGCAAGTGCTAGTTCAGGCCTGGGATTCAATGCAGGGGATGCAAGCAGTTCGGTCACATTGAAAAAGTGTGCAGGAACAAGGCTGCACAGCCACCACAGCAAGCACAAAGTGCAGATGACCAGCAGCAGACCAGTGAACCAGAACAGCTATTTGTAGCTTCATGCTACTTAATGCAGACCAGTAGAGATGTTTGCCTGATAGACAGCGGATGCACTAACCATATGGCAGCGAATGTGGAGAATTTTGTTAGACTGGACAGGACCTACAGCTCCAAGGTTAAGGTTGGAAATGGGGACTATGTGGAAGCAAGAGGAATTGGAGATGTGGCAGTCCAAACTCAGGCAGGGACTAAGGTTATTTCTAATGTTCTATTTGTACCTGAAATTGCACAAAATATGTTAAGTGTAGGTCAAATGTTAGAGAGAAATTATATCTTGCATTTCCAAAACCATTCTTGCATTATAAAGGATAGTGAGGGAAATGAGTTGTTGAGTGTAAGGATGCTTGGTAAAAGTTTTCCTCTAGACTAGAAAAAACCAGAAAACTCAGCATTAATCACCAAGGTTGAAGAGTCTGAGTTATGGCATAGAAGACTTGGACATTTTCACTACCCTGGAGTTAAAGAGCTCAAGTCAAGGGACATGGTATTAGACCTGCCCGAGATAGAAGAGAATAGGACTTTGTACACAGCCTGCCAGTTTGGCAAACTCAGCAGGCCATCATTCCCTTCGGATCAAGCCTGGAGAGCAAGTCACAAGCTGCAATTGATCCACTCGGATGTATGTGGTCTAATGAAGACAGAATCTTTAAATGGCAGCAGGTACTTTGTACTCTTCATTGATGATTTCTCAAGGGTGGCTTGGGTTTATTTCTTGAAGCAGAAAAATGAAGTGGCTGCTGTGTTCAAACAATTTAAGTTGCTGGTGGAGAATGAAGTTGGAACCTTGATCAAAACAGTAAGGACTGACAATGGAACAGAGTACACTTCAAATGAGTTCAAGACAATCTGCAGCCTAGCTGGAATTCAGCAGCAGTTCACAGCACCATACACCCCTCAACAGAATGGTGTTTGTGAAAGAAGAAACCGAACCATTATGGAAATGGCCAAGTGTATGATGGTTGGAAAAAACCTCCCTAAAGTTTTCTTGACAGAAGCTATTAATACAGCAGTTTTCCTACTGAATAGGCTGCCCACCAAGGCAGTCAAACATCAAACACCAATTGAGGCATGGAGTGGAGTCAAGCCAGCAGTAGGGAACCTGAAAGAATTTGGAAGCATAGCCTATGTGATGATCCCAGCTAGCAAAAGGTCCAAATTGGATGACAAGGCAGAAATTGGGATATTTATAGGCTACAGCAGTAGCTCTAAAGCTTATAGAGTTTATGTTCCTGAGTCGAAAAGGATTGTAATCACAAGGGACATAAAGGTTGATGAATGTGGAGTCTAGAACTGGGAAGAAAAAGGGGTTGATATGCAAGCTGAATCAAGTCAGAATGAGAGAAATGAGGGACTGATTCAAGAGGTAGATTCAGATGAGGAAGAAGAACATGCTGTTAGAGGAACTAGAACTTTGGCTGATGTGTATGAAAGGCGTAATATGGCAGTGGTGGAACCAAGATGCTACCTTGATGCTGGAAAATCTGAATTGTGGAGGCTGCAATGTAGGAAGAACTGAGTATGATTGATAAAAATCAAACCTGGAAATTGGTACCAAGACCTGAAAAAAGGAAAGTCATTCAGGTGAAATGGATTTTCAAACTGAAAATCAACCCTGATGGCTCAATCTACAAGCACAAAGCAAGGCTGGTGGTGAAGGGTTTTGCACAGCAACCAGGCATTGATTTTTCAAAAACTTTTGCCTCGGTTGCTAAGCAAGACACAATCAGGCTACTCTTGGCACTTGCAGCTCAGTTCAACTAGAAAATTTTCCAGCTGGATGTCAAGTCAACATTCCTAAATGGATGGATTTCAGAGGAGCTGTATGTAGAGCAACCCGAAGGTTACAAGGTTGAAGGAAAGGAGGCCTATGTGTACCTACTGAGGAAGGCCTTGTATGGCTTGAAGCAGGCCCCTAGAGCCTGGTACAGCCGAATAAATGACCATTTATGCAGCCTTGGATACACTAGAAGTCCTAATGAACACGCTCTCTACATTAGGAAAACTGAGAAAGGAGTAGCTATAGTTTCTCTTTATGTTGATGACTTGTTGGTGACAGGGAGTAATCCTGATGAATTGGACCAGTTTAAGTTAGATATGGAAGCTGAATTTGAAATGACAGATTTGTGATTGATGAAGTACTTCCTTGGCATGGAGATAAATCAGGCTGCTAGTGAGATTTTTGTGTGTCAACAAAGGTATGCAACCGAGCTTCTCTTGAGGTTTGGTATGGAGAATTGCAAACCAGTGAATACTCCACTGGTTCCTAACCTGAAATTAAGCAAAATAGATGGTGCAGAGAGGGTTGATGAAGGGAAATACAGAAGCTTAGTAGGAAGTTTGCTGTATTATACAGCCACCAGACCTGACCTTATGTTCACAGCAAGTTATCTCTCAAGGTTCATGAGCAACCCAAGTGAACTGCACTTTAAGGCTGCAAAACCTGTGCTGAGGTATGTAAAGGGGACCATCATGTTTGGCATCTATTTTACGAAGGCTGAAAGTCTGAAATTGTTGGGGTACACTGACAGTGATTGGGCTGGATCCCTAGTGATGCAAGAAGCACCTCTGGTTATGTGTTTTACCTGAATAAGGGTGCAATCAGTTGGCTGTCAAGGAAGCAAGAGACTGTGGCACAGTCTACTGCTGAAGCTAAATATGTCTCTGCTGCAGTAGCAGTAAACCAGGCTGTGTGGCTGAGAAAAATGTTGGATGACTTGCACCAAGTGCAGGGTGGTCCTACGCTGATCCTATGTGATAACTAGTCAGCTGTGGCAATGGCAAAGAATCCTATACTCCACGGCAGAACTAAGCATATTAAGATCAAGTATCATGCTGTTAGGGAAGCTGAATAGTGTGGGGAAGTAACTTTAGTGCACTGCAGAGGGGAAGATCAGGTTGCTGACATTATGACAAAGGCATTGTGCAAATCCAAGTTTGAAGCCTTTAGGCTAAAACTTGGTGTTTCCAGTCAAAGCACCAAGGTGGAGTGTTGAAGGTTGGTGCTGTGCTGGAAGTAAGATTTGCTGGAAGTTTGAAGCTGTTTTGCTGCTGTGGATGGACGTGCATGGTGCTGTTCTAGAGTTCAGTAGCTTAAGTCCTTCTGTATATTTTATTGTTAATTTTGAATTTGTTGACTCAGCTTATTTTGTAATGAAGTTGTTAGACGTGAGTGGTTTAGCTGAGATTAAGTGAAAGTTCTGATAGTAGTTGAAACAGTAAGCAATAGCATGTTATATTCAGACTTTTGTCTAATGAAATGGTAGTCCAATTTTTTCATTCTTTCTCTCTCTTTTCTTTGCACAACCGGCATTAACAAAACACTAACAGACTCAATCTTTCAGATCATATTCTCTAAGGTGTCCTTAATTGGGAATGCGAATACCATTACCTAAAGTTAATAGCATCTAGATACACCTTTCTGAATCATTGTTTCAGAAGGGTCACTTACTTGATGCCATAGTAAAAAGCCAAGCTGATAACTTTTGTCTTTGTCAATAGCAATTCAAAGAAATTGGTATGTTATGAATAGGTAGCCACTATCTCTGCAAATGGTGAACATGAGATTGCAGAATTGATAGCAAGAGTAATAGAAAAGGTTGGAAAGGAAGGAGTGATTACTGTTGCTGTAAGAATTTTATTCCTTAAACTGTATTACTGCCATTTAACTTTTACAAATAGGTCAAGCTTATGCATTAATATGCAAATTTTATAGGATGGAAATACTTTGGATAACGAGTTGGAAATGGTGGAAGGAATGAAGCTCGGAAGAGGCTATATATCTCCATATTTTATTACTAATCAAAAGACACATAAATGAGTAAGTTTCAGATCTTTGTCACTCTAAACGATGATTTTTTACTTTCATCAATGGATTTCTCGCTGTATTGTGGTAAAATGAGGTTTCCATTATAAGTATGTGCTGACAATTTCTTGTTACATTGTTCCTTTTCTTTTCAAGTTTATAAGATTGCTACTTCCACCCTTGGTTTCATTTGAGGTTTTACTAGTTATGACTACTAAATGAAGAATTCCATTTAACACCATGAAATTTTCCTTTACATGAAAGTAAAAGCTGAAATATTAAATGTTGTTATTCAAATGTTGCAGGAACTTGAAAATCCTTACATTCTCATTCATGACAAGAAGATATCAGACATGAACTCACTTGTGAGAATATTGGAGCTGGCTCTAAATGTAATTAACTTTTTTTTGTATCTTTTTTTTTTTTTTTTTTTTCTTGATGAATGGTAGGTAAATTATCAAGATATTCATGGAAGAATTCTCATTCCTTTCTTCTTTTGCTGTTTGATAAAAAACAGAAAAACAGAGAACTCCTTGTTGTAGTTGAGGATGTGGAAAGTGATGCACTAGCTATGCTCATTCTCAACAAGCATCATACTGGTGTTAAGGTGATTAATTGACTCTCCTTTGAAGTTACTTATATAGGCATACAATATTAGATGGTGGAAAATGTTATTGTTTGAAGATTTTGACAGATTGAAATGTTGTCAACGTGTTTGTATATGTACACACTCATAGCCACAAACAGATGATGTTATTTTGTGTTCAAGAATATTTTTGTCAACCTACACAGGATTGTTATCAAGGTTTTAATAAATTGCATATGTGAATACTAAAAATCACAAACAATCTCTTGCCTAATGTTGGTAATGCCAATTGAAGGGCGTTTACTATTATATTGATGAGTTTATTAATTAGGTCTGTGCTATTAAAGCTCATGGATTTGGGGAGAATAGACGAGCAAATCTAGATAATCTCGCTATTCTAACTGGTGGAGAGGTGATAGAGTTTTCCAATTTTTAATTTGTGTTTCCCCCTTCTAATAGTGTTTATGATGACATGATTAACAATTTAATATGTAGGTTATCTTTGAAGATCGTGGTCTAACTCTTGATAAAGTCAAAATAGAAATGCTTGGCACTGCAAAAAAGGTTGGTATATAGGCTTATGGTGTGCTACAAGTGTTTTTTGTAACACAGCTGACAGTTTATACTAGGTCACTATCTCTGTTGATGACACTATCATTCTACATGGTGGTGGGGATAAGAAGTTGATTGAAGAGAGATGTGAGCAGGTACGTTGGTGGTTGCTTATGTTCCCTTTGTAGATTTTTTCCTTAAAAGCTTTTTCTTCAGTCAAATAAATAGAACCTTTTATTCTTCACTCAATTAGCAAATATAGATTGTATGAAAGAAACAAATATCTTTATGGAAGTTACACTTGCTTTATAATATTTTACAGCTGGTGGTTGCTATGCCATTATTGTTGCTGCTAATAAAGCATTATTCTAAATACTGGGCATATTATTTTGTCATTATGTTTTCCTCTTGTTAATTACTAATTGTGCAAGCCTTACTAGCATAACAGTAAAGGGTTACATTTGTTGTATACTTTGCTCTTTTAATTGTAATACATTGACCAATGCACTTTTTCTCAATTACTTAATATACACGGGTGACTATTGTTTTATCTGCTGTAATATTTCTCATAAAAGGTTGAGGGTCCTCTTACTCTTTACCTAGGAATTTTTTCTTTTTTGGGATTTGCAGCCCTTCATCACTCAATTCAAGTGACAATTCTGCTTATCATAAAAATATATGTGAATTTAAACTACATATACAATAAATTATTATATAATGTAATTCACACTAATATTACACTCTTCAATTTCCTTGCGCATTTGTGATAAACAGTCCAGGATTCCGGATTGGTTTCTTTTAAGTTTCAATAGTCCATAAAAAAGTATTACAATATATATAATTCTTCAGAAGAGAAACGACTTTTTAAAAATTTATTTTGGAAAAAATTTATAAGCCTAAAACGACTTTTAAAGAGAAATGGAGGAATATGTATATATTCTTTTGATTCTTTTGAAATCATAGGAATTAGGGTATTGTAATTCTATAAAAAAAAAAAAAAAAAAAGCAAACAATAAGAGAAAAAGAATTAGGATATATGAACTAGTCATTCACACCCAATATCTCAATGAAGAATTAGGATCCTCTCTCTCTCTCTAGAACTAAAGAGCTGTTAGAATGAAAAAAATGCAGACATGACAACTAATATCAGCATGATGGATTTGGCTTACTTCGTTGGTAGATCGGAGTTTCTCTCTTGGATCAACTCTCCAAAGTCGAAGAGGTTTTTCTTCTTTATTTTATCTTCAATTTATAAAACTAATTTCTTTTCTATTGTTTTATGTTATTGAGAAAAGTTTGTTTGGATCTTTGAATTGAAATTGCAGGCATGTTTCGGTGCGGTTCATTGCCAACTGATGGATGTGGTTCATCCGGGGATGGTCCCATGCACAAAGTCAACTTTGATGCCAAGAACGAGTACGTGATTAATTTAAACTACAAGGTCCTTCAAGATCACCAAGGTTTAGTTTAATTCTCGTTCTTGGGCCTTTCATGGGAGAGAGATACTTCTGCTTTTTGTGGGCTTCAGTTACAAAGCATTTAATGGAGGTTCCTTTTTCCTTGATCAATGGGATTGGGGTGCTGTTGTTCCTTAAATTTTATGAAATACAAATTTGTGTTGTGGACTACTGGTACACCTTTTTGTGATTTACTCTTTCTTTAATAACATTTTCATGTTAATTATAGTCCTGGAAGAAAGTAAAAGGTGAATTTTGTCTTTCAAATCTACCCCCCATATACTTATATTTTCTTGCCTGAGTCAGGTGTATCAGGTTATATGTTTTCTGCTAAATGTGGGTTTTACTAACTTGTTTTCCCTGTCTCTTTGATAAATATTTAGCAAAATCTGGCAAAAAGAGAGGGAGGAACCATAGATAGAAGCCAGGATATTGCTCGTTTAGCAGAGTTCTGCAAGCTGTATAGAGCACAGAACAATGTAGATCAGATATGTCAAGAAGAAATGGAGATGAGAGAGTTGGGAGCTTTCCCTGGAAATCTTGGCGAGTAAGTATCTTTAGTAGGGGATAGAAGATATCGATCCTTTGAGTTTTAAATTTATTCATTTTGTTCTTTTGGATAAGTAAGAACTGCATAAATGCCAACAAAGAAAAAAGAGGAACAAGTTGGGGAGCATTTGATTTTCCTTTATACATTGCTATCCTTATGTTTCTTGTACTGTATTGTCTTCTCTGCTCTAACACACACACACTCTCTCTATTCAGTACATGTGTTTATCATTTGATTATGTTGTGTATGTGAGTTAAGCTGTGGCATCTGGAAAATTTGATTGTGGCATCTATCGCCTAAGATATTGTTCTTTGGTGTAAGTACTTGAAAATATGCCGTGAGATTTATTTTGTTTTTAGTATTCATTGTGGTTTTCCTAGAATTTGTACCAGGAATGTTTGGAATGCCTCCACCACCACGAAGTCCATCGACTACCATATTCTGCCCCAAGCTGGAGTTCCCTGGGTAGGGAAATCAAAGGTTGATTCTACTCAAATTCCAAGGCCCGATACAAGTTCCTCAGTTATCATGTATGAAACCCGTCATGGCAATCAGGCTAATCCTCCTCCAGTATATTATCTTCCAATTCTGAAAAAGAGTGAAAATTTTACTTGATTTAATTTGCTATTTGGGTATACGTTCTGAAATTTAATCTTTGACTTAGCTCTTCCTTTTTTTTTTCTTTTCACCTGGTTTCTTTGCTGCTGTAATATAATTAATTTGCTTTTGTGTGAGATCCATAGTGCTTTTCTTCCATTGGACATTCTGATTCCTTATTTATTTGTTTAAAGCCTGCTACTAGTGACTTCATTGCCATGGACACTGAGAATTGCAGTCCGCATTACGTAAGGTGCACAATCAATCAGGTGTTGATCAAATACTTAATATACACAGGTGAATGTTGTTTTATGTGCAGCAATTTTTCTTTTAAATGATCTCATATATTGAAGATAATAAAAGAGATATGATAGGTTCCACGTACAGCTGACCTTTAATAATAGTGTCAATTTCCCTTTAATATGGGTGACTGTTATTTGTGTGCTGTAATTAGTTTCATTGAATTCATTAATAATATTCTCATGTTTGACCTTTTGGCAACATCAGGGATGCAGCTGGCTTTGTTGGTCCAACCATTGGCCCTTCGTTGTCCATCTGAGCCTGTACAGGTAATGCATGAATGCTGCCTGAGTATAACTTTTGTTCAGATTAAAATCTCAGTGATTACTGCATTTGTTTGTTAATGAAATAACAGTTACCTCTACCAATGCATTTCGTCTCTTTAATACAACTTTTCTTGTTTCATAGATTGTGGACGTTGGAGAAAGTGGTCCAATTTGATGCTCTCGTTGCAAGGGCTACATAAATCCTTTCATGAAGTTCACCGACTTCATCTGTAACTTATGTGGTCAGTTTAAATATTACCGTATTTCTATGTTGAAGTATTAAGTAATTTGCTTCAAAGTTATATGTTGTTGGTCTATGAATTCTGTGCTGCATTTGGGTTTCATTTTTCTCTTCACAAATGCTTCCAATCTTGTTTTGGGAATGTTAACCCTGCTTTGTTCCTTAGTTACTGCTATTTTTCTCTTGAAAGTCGTTTAATTGCCACCTATGAGATGGGTGAAATAGCTTAGTTATTTGCTATCAAGTATCATATATCATGATGTCTTATACTTATCCTACATTAGTGTTGTAATTCCTGATGTCCAGATAGTAACTACTCTTTAGGATTTATTTGTTATTCCTTAAGTCAATGATATTTAGTGTTTGCTGAACATATATCATATAGCTAAAATGTTTTTCCTTAGCAAAACTTGGGTTTGGGCATTTGACTTGCCATCAATGATATAAGTGTTGATATGGGTGCAATAGCTTAGTTGTTTACTTTGAGTTTTTATAGAAGATAATGTTGTATGCTTATCATACATTCTTGTTGCTTTGTTAATGGTTTGAATGGAAAAAGGTATATAACAAGGTTATATCCAATAGGAACTATGTGGCTAAGGACATAAATTTTGGAGTTGGAGTTCGGGCCGCAATGTTGCAAGGTGTATCCGAGGTTGCAGAAGCTGTGAAAGTTACGATGGGACCTAAGGTATCCATTCTTTCTTATGTTTCTTGACAAATTATATTTTGATTACTATAGTATAGTTTTGATCCATTATAGTAAGATAAGTAGAGGCTCAATATATATTGAGAATTTTCGTGTTTTCTTCTTAGCTAGTGTTCTTCATTCCTAATTTATTGATTCAGAGTCATAATGTGATTATTGAGAAAAGGAGAGGGGATCCGAAGGTCACAAAGGATGGTGTCACTATGGCAAAAAGCATTAAATTCAAAGACAAGGCCAAGAATGTTGGTACAGATCTTGTAAAGCAGGTCGCGAGTGCAACTAAAACAGCTGCTGGAGATGGTAATTTCTTCTTACTGTTTCTTGACTTTATTTTGGTAACCTGCTATAATTTTTCATGGATTCATATGATTCCAGATGATGAGTTGGGTTGAGTTATTTTTGGTTGGCAGATTGGAAAAGCAAAGCAACTTAAGAAAAAACATTACAAATCCTCAAGAAATCCTCAATTTTAAGTTGCTTGGGTTTTGCTTTCTTTTTTGAATTGAGTCATTGAGTAATGTCCTGATTTTAACCTTCTTGAAGTTTACATGCACGAGTCAACTTGGAATGGCAGTCATTTCTCTGGCTCTGATGACAGTCGTACTCTAATAGATTCTACGCATGCATGACTAGAAGAAAACCAGTATTTGTACAGCTAGCCATCAACTTTAAATGTTGGAAGCACAAACTTGAGTATTGTTTGGTCCTATCAATTTCAGTGGTTATATGATGATACTATGAAAGCCTTAGTGTCTAGACTCTAGTATGAACTAACAGCCTTCAGAGGAGACGTAATCTTTTTCAATATGGGTTCTTTCACATCACTTAAGTAGTTCTTATCGCTGGAGATTTGCTACTTATCTCTTTTGCAGCTACAACTTGTGCAACTGTCCTGACTCAGGCAATACTAACAGAAGGCTGCAAATCTGTAGCTGCTGGTGTAAATGTGATGGATTTATGCAGTGGTATTAACATGGCAGTTGATGTAGTCATATCTGACTTAAAAGGCAAAGCGCAAATGATTAGTACCCTAGAAGAGATTACACAGGTAGTGGAATTTCTTTAAAAAAGTTACGTATAAGTTGTGTATGGTGGGCAGCATTGAGCTATGATATAATTATAAGAAGTCTTACCTAGTCTAGAGTAGGAGACATTGATGATTTTTTAGTGTCCCAAAATCTCTAACATCTTCTTGTAAATGTGGTAAATGGTTATAGCATGGCTATGATTCTATTATCTTGTGTTTCATGTAGATAATTATAGCAAGATGAAGTGAACATAGGAGCAAATAGAGTTTTTAGAAACTATGCTAAAGATATATCTATCCTGATAAATTGAAAAATGTTAATTATTCATATTTGCTTCTAGGTTTCAAAACTTGAATTTCAATACCAATACTGCTTTGTTTTGTTGTAGAAATTGGATGAGGCTGCTGTGCAGAAGGTATTCCTAAAGTCGCTTGATCGTATTTCTGAATTTCAATAACATTAAACAGTGTAGCTCTACTTGAATGTTCAACCTTTTTGGAGCTGGTTTGTATTTGTTTATGCTTTCCTTTCATTTTTATGGTTGTTTAGCAAGTGTGTATATTGTTAATGGCATATAAAAATTGTGGAAAAGCTTTTGTTTTTTTATTTGTGCTGCATATTAGTTGGTCCTTCTTGTATCAACTGGTTTTGCCTTCTTTGCACATGCTGTTAGAATTTCCTAAATTAAACTTAATGCACAGATGACAAGGGAAATGGATGAAATTTATGGTAGCCAGATTGGATAACCAGCTTGTAGTTGCAGTTCCGAGGAAGGTGTTGAATTATCATCGTTATAACCCTAGGATTGATATGAGTGCTGGGATGATTGAAGAACAGTAGTCTAGAAAGTAAACTTCTAATTTTAAAAGCTCCCTTTGCTGCTGTGCTAAATTTCTTAACATTGTATCTAATTTTTCACATATCCCTTTGTAGATATGGGAGGACACACGTACGAGAACATATGAAATAGGATGCTTCAAGTTGGTTGACAGAAAGTTTTCAATTTAAATTAACCATTGAAATGATTCGTCTCCCCTTTTCTTGCTTTTAATTATTTGGTAGTCTACTCTTTTTTGGTTATATTGGTTGAAATTTATAAATTGATACTTGTTTCATTTCCAACAATTTCTTTCATCCTTATAGAAAGGTTAATGTTGATTTCTTCATAAAAAGTGGAGATTCTTATTCATTTAAAATTTACTTAACTTTGCTAGTCGGACTTCTCTTCCCTTGGTGATGATGTGGATTGTGGAGCAAAGAGGTCTATTTGGCTGTTGCATTAAGGGTTATCCTAGAAAACTACCTTGGTAGGGATGTAAGATGAATTCTGTTGTTGGCTTCCTGTGAGTGGAACTCATACAGTGCAGGAATCACGCACAAGATTTTATTGTGCTAGATATGTGTGTTTGCTTTTGGACTGGAATTAAAGATAATGAGTGATTTTTCAATATTTAGTTAAAGTAAGGTATGCGGATTATATTTTGTGTTCTGCATAATTAGTTTTTTCATTCTGTCATATTTTATGCCAGATGATCTTGTTAAATTTCTTCTCTTCTTTTGCCTTGAATTTGTTATTTTGAAATGCTTCACCAAATATACTATCTCATGCAAGAATTATATGGACGGATGTGTTGCTGATGGATGAAGCGTTACCTAAAGATGTTCTCTTTTAGTTTTCACTGCAGGTATTGCTTGAAATTAGCCTATAAGTGCTTTTCTTGTTGAATAATGGAGTTTGATATGCTCATTAATCATATATGCTTTCAGGCTATCCTAATTACTGTCAAACATTATGATTCCAGCATATTTTCTGATCTTCTATAGGTTATATCAGGTTATTTTTTGCTGATTTGTTAATGTTTTCTCATATTTCATTTTATTGATTTCTACTGTTTGACTTATAAATTTTTTAGACCTGAGTTCGACTCCCAGTAGTGACCTTTTTTTTTTTCATTTTATAAAATTTTCCTTTTTGGCTTCTAACTTTCGATTTTATTCTTAATTTTACATCTTTGCTTTTAATTTTTAATTTTTCTAATTAATTTGTCTTTTGGCTTCTAATTTTTCTTTTTATTCTAAATTTTTCTTTTCATTCAGCTTTTAGATTTTCATTTTTAGATTAATATTACTTCTTTATTTATTTTAAAATTTTTCAAATTTATTGGCTGCGGTAACACCTATATTTTCCTTATTAATTTTACTTCGTGATTGATTTTTTATTCACTTGTCAATTTTATTCTTGGATACATTAACCACTATCTATTGACTTTATTTTTTATTTTCTTGTTATGTAGTGTGATGTATTTTTCCTTTTAATTTCACTTCATGATTTTTTTTTCTTATTAGTTATACCATCACTTTTATAGTTTATGCAAATCTAAAGCAAACTAGTTACCGTAATAACAAGTTGTTTGTGCTCTTAGGAGTGATTTTTGTGTTGATATTTTTATCATTTATGATCATGGATTGATTGAGTGGTGTGGATAGTTTGTTTTGTTTATATACTCTTCTCCTATACCATTATTTGGCACTGGTTCCCTCCTCCCCCTCTTTTCCTCTCTTACTTTTTTGTTTCACTTTGACGTAGATAAAGGTATTCTCCTTTCTTTCTTTGATTATTTGATTTTAATTCATCTTCTTTATTTCTTTTTTCAGGTGTCAGTTTAATAAAATTTGAGTATTACTCAGTTGTCTTTGATTTATTTCTACATGAACAATAGTATAATAGTAAACATTTTGTTATAACTTTGGCATACAGTAGTTGAACTGATTTTTGTGTTAATTAGTTGTAATGCATTATCCATGAAGAATGTCTTATATGCTTGAGATCAGAATATATGGGATGGTTCACCATGAAATATTTGATACATTTGTTGGGCTAATGAATTCCCATTCTTGATTCTTTGAAGTTTATATAAGATAACCTTCAAAGAGGCAGCCATTTACTATTAGGAGGTCAAGGCTTCACATACTGGTCAGCCCTTAAGGATATCAAGCATTATAACTTGGTTCAGATGTTAAGCCACTTATGTAGGTTGCAATATATACATGTGAAGATTTTGGTTTTGAAATCTACCAGGTAACTGATTACAGGACCTCTAATGTCACTGAACTTGGATATAATTTGTCTGTTCTTCTACACCTATTTGTCTTTCATTTAATATCTGTCAAATATAAAGTAACTGCTTGCGTTTGAGTGCCCGTCTATACATTGTTGGATAAATATAAAAAATGGGAAGTTGATCCTTAAACTCAGAGCATCAAAGTTTCAAGAAGTTTTCAATTTAGTTTGGTTTCAGTCTTAGAATGGATTAATAGCAAGCATGATTATGTAATATTAGATAATGTTTCTGGCTAAGAAAGAGTTGGTTGTACATATTCCAAAAGGTCATGTCTCTCAGACTATGGCTTGTCATTTGAGTGGAGAACTTACATGAAAAGTTAGCGGTTGTGTTTGATTTCCAAGAAACTTTGGAGGCTACATCTTGTATTTCATTTTGGGTGTGAGAAGAGCACCTAAATCTTAGTAGCTAATGTTAATATTCACCAAATTTTTATTAATCAATTTTACTGTAGTCTGATTCGTATAAAAACTTTGGATAAAGCCATGAACCCAAGTTTGATGAAAAAAGGGCATTACAAAACTAATTCACCCCTTTTGCTTATAAATCTTTCTCAGCTAAAAGAGAACTGGAAGAGAATGTCATTACATGGGTTTAAAGTAATTGCTGAGTGGTGTGAATAATTGTAACTTGCAACTGGTTCTTACGATGTTCTTTGTTTAAAAAATTGCCTTCTTTCATATAATTTATCATCCTGTCCTTACCAGAGTTGTAACTCTTCATCGTAGCTTTTACCTCTCTGTTTTTCTGTTCACATGTAGCGCCAGGTGATGTTGAATTAGCAGGAATCCTTCTTCCTTATCCTTACGTTGGTTTTACAGCACTTTGTGCCTGCTTAGTTGCAAATACATACTTGGAGGCCATGTTTGTCACTCATTTCTAAAAAAATATGATGAGTAAGTGATACAACACGTGAGGTGTTGGTATATAATAAGAGGCGTGGGAAGAAGCACTAGAGGATCAATTGTGAGAAAGGAAGCAACTAAAGTGTGAAGAGAAGAAAAAGGTGGAGTGGACAGGTGGTGAAAGATGAATGGTGGAGGGTTGAATTCTGTTAGGAAAGGAAATGAATAAAAGGGAGCAGCAGATGATGAAAAAGGGATCTGAAAAGAATATAGTGAAGGGGAGGTAGCTGGCCCTCGAAGTCCAGCGTATTAGTTTTCCATTATTTTGTTGATTCAATTCTTGTTAAACTTGTGTTGGGATATAATCCATCGGACGAGTGTAATTCTAAACTTCTTAATGCAATATAGATATATTTGTGATTCTGGATGTTTACATTGAATTGTTTGAGTATATCTGGTGTTTAGTATATTGTGTGTGGTTGAGTAAGGAATCTGGTTAGGTTCGCAACAATTTGGTATCAGAGCAGGCATGTGGGTAATGGTTGCAACGAGAATGGAATCTAGACTAGAAAATGTGGAAATGGAAGTAACGAAATTAGGGGTTGATATGGGAACTATTCGCGAATTCATGGTCGAGATACAAAGCTGGATGAGGAGAAAAGATGAAGAAGAAGCTGGACGAGGTGAACAAACGTCATCCAGGAACGTGAGAAATCAGGATAGGGAAAACCAAAATGGAGCCAGTGGATCAGGGAGTTCGAGACAAAACCAGAGTGAGGTAGGAGGACGTAAACTAGAGTTACCCATTTTTGTAGGTGAGGATCCGTACAGGTGGATTTTTAGAATTGAGAGATACTTCAGTCTGAATGGGATTCCTAACAAGGAGAAACTAACAGCTGCAGTAGTTTGTATGGAAGGGGAAGCCATTAATTGGTATCAATGGATGGAGGTCAGAGCACCTGTGAATTCGTGGCCATCGTTCAAACTCACCTTAATTCAGAGATTTAGTGGATCTCAAGATAGCAATCCTTACGAGACACACATGGCCATGAAACAAACCAGCACAGTCGCAGAGTATAGACATAGGTTTGAAGTTGTGGCTACTTTGTTGGTAGAGGAGAAGGAAGAAATATTGAACGCTGCGTTTTTTAACGGACTTAAGGCAGATATTCGGGTTGAATTAAGGCTGATCCAACCCAATTCACTTCTGCAAACAATAGAGTGAGCCCATAGAGTGAAGGAACGTAATTGGGCTTTAGAAGAGGTAAAGACTGGTCTAGCAAGAGCTAATAAGTGGAATGGGTCTAGATATAATGTTGGGTCAAGTACCTTTGGATCCAGGAGCTTCAACTCGATTTCGACCCAACCCAACCTGGCCCGACCCGACCTAGAGATTCACTAAAATTCCCAAATTCGACTAAATCCCTAAAATCCAATTTACATTCAAATTTTGGGGCAACGAAATGCAGAAGGATCTGCCATGGGTTCATCGATGAGTTCTTCTCCTCGCTTATACTCACCTACCACCTTCCGATCATTCGACAGAGCTCCTCCATCGCAACGAGATTTTCTGTTTTAAAAAATGACTGAGGCCGAGATCCAGCGAAAGAGAGAGAAAGGGTTGTGCTTCAAGTGTGATGGGAAATATTTCTTTGGCCATAAGTATGGTGAAAAGCAATTTCAGGTCATCCTCGTTGACGAAGAAGAGGAAGATTTGGATCCAAGTGAAGTGGAAGTCAGTGAGGGAGCGACGGAAGAACAAACCCAAGGTAATGTTGAACTTTCTCTTAGCTCTGTGATTGGGATAAATGGCCCAAAAACGATGAAGTTGAAGGGAAGTATTAAGGGTTAGGAGGTTATCATTTTGATTGACAGTGGGGCTTCCCACAATTTCATTAGCAGAGAGACTGTAGGGAAGTTAGGTATTGCTGTTGAACGAACACAAGCATTTGGGGTGCGAGTTGGAGATGGGTATAAGGTACGGAGTGAGGGAGAGTGTAAGGTAGTGTGTTTACAAGTCCAGAAGGTACAGATAATCCAAGATTTCTTCCCATTTGACATGAGTAGTGCAGATGTAGTCCTAGGCATAGCTTGGTTGGAAACGTTCGGTGAGACTACGATGGATTGGAGGAAGCAGGTAATGAAATTTAAGTTGAGTGGAGAAACGGTGACACTTGTAGGGGACCTAGCACTTAGTAAAACAATGGTCTCCTTAAAAGCCATGATCAGAACGTTGAAGAGTGAAGGAATTGGATACATGGTTGAATTTGGGCAGTTGCAAAAACAGTCAGAGGAGGAAACAATCATCAATAGTAGGTTGATTCCGATGTTAGAAAAATTCCAGACTGTATTTGAGCCACTACCGGGATTACCCCCAAGTAGGCCCCAGGATCATGCAATTCGACTAACTCCAGATGCCCAACCCCCAAACTTTAGGCCTTATAGATATCCGTATTACTAGAAAAACGAGATTGAGAAGATCATTGGTGAAATGTTAGCTTCGGGGATTATTAAGCCTAGTATTAGCCGATTTTCCAGCCCGGTTCTGTTGGTTAAGAAGAATGATGGTGGGTGGAGGTTCTGTGTAGATTATAGGGCACTCAACAAACTGACAGTTCCCGATAGATTTCCCATTCCAGCCATTGATGAGTTATTTGACGAACTTGGGGAAGCCGAGGTATTTTCCAAGCTGGATTTAATGTCAGGCTACCACCAAATCAGAGTGCGATATGAGGATACCCACAAGATGGCTTTCCGAACTCACAAAAGGCATTACGAATTCCTAGTTATGTCATTCGGATTGACCAATGCCCTATCCATATTCCAAGCTTTGATGAACAAGGTTTTTAGGCCCTACCTTCGGAAGTTTATCCTGGTTTTTTTTTATGATATACTTGTGTACAGCAAATCAATGGATGACCCCACATAACACCTCAGTCTCACATTTCAGAAACTGCTGGAACATCAACTAGTAGCCAACCGAAAAAAAATGTTTCTTTGGGCAACCGCAATTAGAATATTTGGGCCATTTAATTTCAGCGAAGGGGTTGGTTGTGAATCCCTCTAAAATTGAGAGTATTGTCGAATGTCCCTGCCCGAGATATGTTAAAACACTCAAAGGATTCCTAGGACTGACCGGGTACTATAGAAGATTCGTTAAAGGGAATGGTAAGATAGCACTTCCCATGACTAATCTGTTAAGAAAAGATTCATTCATGTGGGGTGAGAAACCTGAGGAAGCATTTAAGGCATTGAAAGCTGCCCTGGCCAGTGTTCTTGTGTTAATGATGCCCAATTTTTCTAAACAGTTCGTCATTGAAACTGATGCATTGGGGTGTGGTTTAGGAGCTGTTTTAATGCAGGAAGGGAGGCCTCTTGCTTTTCTCAGTAAAGGACTGTCAGCGAATTCAAAGCTCAAGTCTGTTTATGAAAGAGAACTGATGACTATTGTGATGGCAGTACAGAAATGGAGACATTATTTGCTCAGCCGACGCTTTATCATCAGAACCGACTAGAAGAGCCTCTATTTTCTTACTGAATAGAGGTTGTCGAATGAAGACCAGCAGAAATGGGTGTTGAAATTGCTCGAGTTACATTTTGATATACAGTATCGACCAGGGCCAGAGAACAAGGCTACTGATGCATTATCCTGGAGGCTTGAGAATGTTGAGAATAACGCCATTTCAATAGGTTGTTTCAGCGGGTTAGATAAACTGGAAGATGCCATTCAAAAGGATGACAAGTTGCGGTAGCTCACCCAACAGCTTATGGTTGATCCTCATTGCCACCCTCTTTTCAAATTAATGGGCAGACACCTCCTGTATCAAAACATGTTGGTAGTACCGAAACAGGGCCCTCATATTCAAAAACTCTTGCATGAATTTCACTCATCTCTGATTGGAGGTCACTCTGGATTTTTCAGAACTTACAAGCGCTTGATGAATGTGTTTTATTGGGATGGAATGAAGAAGGACATCCAAACTTATGTTAACTCATGCAGCGTGTGTCAACAAAGTAAATATGAAGCATTGAGGCCAACTGGATTATTTCAACCTTTTCCTATTCTAGTTTAGGTTTGGGAAGAAATTTCCATGGATTTTATAATGGGACTTCCAAAAGTGCACAATGTGGATACTATCTTGGTGGTAGTTGACCCGCTCACTAAATATAGCCATTTCCTCACACTCAAGCATCCTTATAAAGTAAAAGAGGTGGCAGCGGCATTCATTAAAGATGTAGTAAGGCTCCACGGCTTTCCACGGACAATTGTTTTAGATTGCGATCAAGTGTTCATGAGCCATTTTTGGGTAGAATTGTTCAAGCAGGCTAGAACTAGCTTCATATGAGCTCGGCCTACCATCCACAGACGGATGGACAAACGGAGGTTGTTAATAGGTGTTTGGAAACTGACCTCCGTTGTTTTGTAGGGAATCAGCCTCCGCAGTGGCCTCACCGGATTCTGTGGGCTGAATTCTGGTTCAATACTACATATAGCAGTTCCACGGGCACGAGTCCTTTCAAAGCCTTATACGAAAGAGATCCTCCAGCCTTGCTAAAATACACAGATCACAGTTCTCCGGTGGATGAAGTCAATCAGCAAATTCAAACCCGTAACGGTATCTTACTTGAACTTAAGGAGAATTTGCACAAAGCTCAAAACCGCATGAAAAGTTATGCCAATGAGAAGAGGAGAGATGTCCAGTTTGAGCTGGGCGAATCTGCCTATCTTAAGCTACAGCCCTACCGTCTAAAATCCCTAGCTTCCCGCTGCAATGAAAAGCTAAGTCCAAGGTTTTATGGCCCTTTCCGAGTCCTTGAGAAAATTGGACCAGCAGCTTACAGGTTAGAACTACCAGATAATGCCCGTATCCATAATGTGTTTCATGTGTCCCAACTCAAGAAAGCCATTTTTCCACCTCCAAACATCCAGCCTCTTCCAGATTCATTGACTGACGACCTGGTCTTAGTAGTCGAACCAGAGGAGGTGCTTAAGATCCGCAGGTTACTCAATGGTCAAAGGGAAGTTCTAGTTAAGTGGAAGGGGTTGCCTCACCATGAGAATACTTGGGAAGAGTATAATGAACTGAATTTGCAATTTCCTTCATTCCACCTTGAGGACAAGGTGGCTCTTCTTCGGGAGGGTATTGATACAACACGTGAGGTGTTGGTATATAATAAGAGGTGTGGGAAGAAGCACTAAAGGATCAATCGTGATAAAGGAAGCAACTAAAGTGTGAAGAGAAGAAAAAGGTAGAGTGGACAGGTGGCGAAAGATGAATGGTGGAGGGTTGAATTCTGTTAGGAAAGGAAATGAATAAAAGGGAGCAGCAGATGATAAAAAAGCGATCTGAAAAGAATATAGTGAAGGGGAGGTACCTGGCCCTCGAAGTCCAGCGTATTAGTTTTCTATTATTTTATTGATTCAATTCTTGTTAATATGTGTTGGGATATAATCCATCAGATGAGTGTAATTCTGAACTTCTCAATGCAATATAGATATATTTGTGATTCTGGATGTTTACATTGAATTGTCTGAGTATATCTGGTGTTTAGTATTTTGTGTGTGGTTGAGTAAGGAATCTGGGTAGGTTCGCAACAGTAAGCCATCTCCAGTACTTAGTTACCGTTAGCGAGCAATTTCATGCATCAAAATACCATTTCATTGTTTTTAAATGTGAACAGTTTGAGAAATAATGCTTGTTTCTTGAATTTAGTTTGAAGAAACATGTACACTTTTTAATTGGTTAGTTGTTGGAAATTTTTAACTAAGTAAATCATGATTTGGTTGATTTGCCTGTAGGTATGAACTCAGAGGAGATGAAGAAGAATACATAGCTTGTTTAATAAGCAGAGGAGGGTGATATCTACAAGAATTTGGCAGTCATTGGCTTTCTTCACTCACTCCCATTATGTATGATTTGAATTTCTTTATTCTTATTTAATGAAAAAATATATGGTGTTGCACTAATAATTTTCGGTGTACAAGAATTTTTCTGCAATCCAAGTAATGAAACTTTTCTACAACAATCGCAATTTTCGTTAAATGATACCATCAGCTTCAGCTATTGCATCGTTCTAGCGTTCTCAACTTTACCAGGTGATTACTATTGAGTATTTTGAGTAAATTTTTGCTAGTTGTCTAATATAAGACTAGATTTGAGTAGGTGAAAATTAATATTTTAATGGAAACATTTTTCTTGATTTTCTTATGATTTTCTCATTTGAAAGACTTTAATGATTGAACCACAACAGGTTGTATATAAAGTCCTCAGAGAGTGATTTGTCATGCCCAGAAGATTGTTAATGAATGGCACACCTATCCAAAATAATCTTTATGAAACTTGGGCTTTGATGCGGTTTTGTATGCCTTCAGCATTTGGGACACTGGAAGAGTTCATTTCTTCTTATTTAATGAAAAAATATATGATGTTACACTAATAATTTTTGTTGTACAAGGATTTTTCTACAATCCAAATAATGGAACTTTTCTACCGCAACCGCAAGGTTCGTTGAAGAATACCATAAGCTTTAGCTGCTGCATCGCTTTAGCATTCCAGGATTGTTGTTGTATGTTGAGTATAACTTGATATACCAATGTAGTGGGGATGGATAGCCATTAATAAATGGTTGTGTTTGGGATTATGAATTTCCTAAAGCCAGAAATAGCGATGGAAGAATCCAGATCCAGAAGATGTTTCATCTTTGATTATAACGAAGAGCAAGGTGAACCAATCCCCAAAACATTGGAATTTTGAAATCTCATACATGGCCTATAGCTCAAGGTAATTGTTAATTCTTCTTTTAAATTGTCTGTATGATTTCATTTTGTTGTCGAATTGTATCACTTATATGTTCATATAACTCATAAGAAATCTAAGTTTTATTTTTAAAAAAAATCAAACTAGACTTTATTCGTGATTAATATTTAAAATTAATGAAAATAAAATAAAAATATCAAATCAAATATTACTATTGTGATGACCATTTGTCAAAATATTATAAAAAGCTTAGATAGTTTGTTAAAGTTAACTTAAGAGAAAATCTAATTCTTTATGAAGATATTTTTGAGATTTCCATTTTGATTGAAGTAAACTAAGATTAAGAAGAATACATTGAATTTAAGTAATAATACTAAATTATGAATGTTTTGTGATTATTATATACTATGAGAGATAAATCATTTTTTTATCATATTCAAATAACATGAATTTCAAGCTATTTATCATATAATAATTTCAATTTATATGCAAATTATTTATCATATAATAATTTCAATTTATATGCAAATTAGTTTTAAGCATTGTTTTAAAAGCCGGATTGGACTGGTCGGTCCAACCGGTTGGACCAGGACTCGGTCACGTGTCCAGTTCGAGTCAACATAAAACCCAGCATTAATAAATGAACCGTTATAAACTGTCAGTAAACCGTGTAAATAGTGTAAACTTTCGGTCGGACCGGATTGATTGAAAAACCGGTCCAGCATCTGAAAAGGGGAAAAAATCCCTAATTTCTCAGTTTCTCTGATTTCTTCTTTCTCTACGCAAAATCCTTTGAAAAAATGTTAACACAAATATGAAAATCTGAAATCCCACACAAACCGCCACTCAATCTCAATGAAATCCACTCTTTGAGCCTGAAATTGTTTCTGAAATCGATCGTAACTCAAGCCTCTGAAATCGTGACGACGCCTTCCTCCCTCACCAGAAATCGATCAACACAATACACAAACGATTTTAAGATTTCTCTTACCTAGGACAGTTGAATCGGTGATCGACTGGACTGAAGTGGAGTTGTGCTTAGTTATTACATAATATTGAATCGAAAATGAATAGGGAATTGGAGAGTAGAGACAGAGGATTTAAACAGAATTTGAAATGTCATGGTGGTGATTAGGCCAAAAAATGGAGTTATGGAGATGCTAAGACAGATCAGACGGTGTCACGGTGGTGGTTCAACCTTTGGGAGTTTGAGATAGATAGAGGATTCAAAGCAAATGGCATTTGAAATTTCGATAGATTTTACGTTTAGGATCAGATGGTGTCACGGTGGTGGTTCGATTTTTTATTTTACTTTTGGGGCTGCTATTTGGGTTTTATTGCGTTTTGAATTTGTATTGAAGTGGTTAAGTTCTTGGTTTCCATATGGGTTTTATTTATTCTTTTGGGTTGAATGATGTTTGTTGTTTCTAGGGTTTAGCAATTTGTGGGGTTAATTGAGTTTATGATTTGTGGGGTTTAGAATAAGTTTCAATCCTATTGATTATGAAAGTATCGACAAAACTGAAGGTTGGATAGTTGACAATAAAGAGGAGGTTAGTGAACTTAATTATAAGGAGTTGGAACAAATGTTATATAGAGAAGGATTTATTCCTACTGGAGTTGTTGATCACCCTTATTTTTATGATTCAACCGATGGTTCAGAAGGTTGGTTTCAAATATTTAAGTAATTTGTATCTATTTAAATTAAATTACAAGTTTTAACTTATGATTTCTATTTTTTAATGAAATTTACGTAGATGATGGTGATGGTTACGATGATGATGATGGTGGTCATGGTGATGAATTTTGATGCTAGTGTATGAAGCTCAATCAACATGGAGACGGATCAAAGAAAAAACACTTGCATCAAATGTTTTGTTATTAATTATTATGTATTTTATCATTTAATATGTAATGGATGAATACAACATCATGTTTGGATTTGGACTTTGGATTGTTGTTAAATACTTAAATTATGTTGGGATTGTTATTGAATTTAAACTTTGAATTATGTTAGATAGTAATTAAGTTGTTATTGTCTTATTAAAAAATGAAAATCTAAAAATAAAAATAAAAAAAAAATTTTTTAATGTGCTGACGTCATCATGTTGTGTGATGACATCATCGGTCCAACCAGCAGTCCAACTGGTTGGACCGGTTGAACCGTGACCCGGGCAGCAGAGCGGATTGTCCTCCGGTCTGGGTTTTAAAAAAGTGGTTTTAAGTCGATCTACCTAATTGATAATATTGGATCCGTATATTATCATATACACTGGGTCACATATGCTATGCATGTAGCATAAAATAGTATAGTACATATGTTCAGTTAATTTTTTACAATATATTAACTAGTATTGCACTATTAATCTTATTTTTCCTATCTTCTAAATTAACTATATAATATTCAATTTAGTCGATGGTGTTAGGTGAAAAAAGGTTACATGAATGCCTAAAATACAAAAAGATAAATTGTGAGGGTAAGGAACATTATTTTTATTTTTTGAAAAATATTTGTTAAATTTTATTTGATTTATATAAATCAATTAATAATATCTTGTAATTACAACATATTTATATCTTGTAATTTACAATAAAGAAATAAATCTCGTGAAACAAATATATATCATGGATTCAAAATAATTTTCCTTTTAGTGGAAGAAAAATTATTGGGTCCGTTTGTTTTGTTATTTTGGATAGGATTTTGGGAAAAATATTGAGTAGTTGAATATAGTGAGTATTACGAGGTAAAATTAAAAAATTCACAAAAAAACCTCTTAAGTTTGCTAATTTAACTAAACACCCCAATATATAAAAATTTTGTAAAATGGCAAAAACACCCCCACCCCAATATATAATAAGTCATGCATATTAAGTAACAATTAATCTCTTATGTATAAAACCTAAAGTTTTTCATTTCTATTTTTTATCCAAAAATATGTTGCTTTGTTTTCTTTAGAATTTGATTAAAATTAGAATGAAATGATTAAAAATAGGTACTTAGTAGAGAATTAGAAAAGAATAAAGATGGATGATGAATTTTTTTTTTCTTTTTCTTGTAAAAAATCAAAACATGCAAAGAATCCTAAACTATACATGAAATGATAAAAAAATTGAAATCCATTAATTATAAATTTTGAAATTCATTAATAGTTATTTTTATTAATAACTGTAAATGTAAAAATAATCATTTAAGTAAGGAATTAGAATCAATAAATTTTATTTATAAATTTATAAAGAATTAATTGAATTTGTATGAATTACTAAGGAGCCACCCATGGGCAGAGACGTAATCAGAGTTTTTAGTCAATGTGGTCAAAACATCTAAATTGATAAATTTATAATAAAATATATATTGAAGTAATAAACATATAATAATATAATTTAAAAAATTAATTTAAAATTTATATATACCAAATTATCAATTATATTGTTGTATAATACCCTAAATTCCCCAACAAGGGTTTATGAATGTAGTGACACAAAAAGATTCCTCAAAAAAGTATAAAACGACAGCAAAAGAAAACTTGGAAAAACGATTGTATTGTAATACGCAAATAATACTTACGTAAGTGGCAGTGATCTATTTGTGGTGATTTCTATGGTGCTTGGAGGCCTGTTACGTGGATATAATGTTTAAGATATGGGCTCCGTTTGGTTCACAATTTTGTGTTTTTGGGAAAAGTTTTTTGAAAAAAGTTAAAAAAAAAGTTGAACTGGGCGGGTATTACGATGTAGGATTTATAAATTAAAAATACCCCCTATGTTTATATTTTTACAAAACACCCCTTATAATAAAATATTAAAAGTTAACAAAAACACCCCCAATCTACCCTCAAATACGGACAGTCGGCCACCACCGCCGGAGGGTGGCCGGAGTCGCCGTAACAAAAACATTAAAAATATTTAGGGGTATTTAATTGAATTAACAAATTTAGGGGGTTTAAAAAATGTTGAATAAAGTTGAATAATATTGTGAGTTTTTGGGTATTTTACTGTTTAACTTTTTTGGGAATACTAAAAGTAGTATTCCCAAAATCCAACCAAACGAAGCCATGGTATCTGAATAGCTCAATTGATGCAGAGAAAATGAAAATCGGCTATGGCTTTGGTGTTTGGTGTTTTTTGGAGAAAAAAATGCCATAACTTCTATTTTAGACAGTGAATGACTTGAGTGATTGAATGCCTGAATGATGAGTGACAGGTGAATTAATGATGCCTTGAATGAGAGAACTCCAACCTTAATGTAGAGTCTTGAAGATAAGTGATAAATATATTGATAAAGGCAAATAATAAAAGATAAATTAATAAATTTGAGATAAATAGGAGAGTGATAAATAAATATAAAAAGGGATAAATACATATAATAATCTTTTATTAAGTATAAATACTTAAAATAAAAAAAATTTCAGGATTTTCATAAATTAATTGGCAAGATGGGAGATAATCTTGTAAATGATTTAGCTCTTGATAAAAATGAAAAAGAAGGATTTACTAAAAAGATAATTGGAAATGACCAAAATGCCCTTACATATTTTATATAAGAATTTGAGTAAGCTGAAGTGGCTTAGTGCAAATAAAGCCTTTCAGAGAATTTTTGGGCAGTTTTGAAGACTTTTTCATACTAGAGAAACTCTAAAATTGGAACTTTGAATAATGCTCAAATGTTGTAAAAGTGGGAATTTTGCAAAATTCGTAGAAAATAAAATATGCGTGATAAAACTATGAAATTTGAACCTTTGGCTATTCATATATTTTAATATATGGGAAAAGTGAAAAAAAAAAAAAATTCTAAGAGGTTGAAACGTGCCTAGGGGTATTTTGGTAATTTTGGCCTTAGGAGGGTAAAACTATCATTTTGCTGCCCAGGTCAGTAAATATTAGTGC